TTATAATGTGTAGGTTTGATGCCAAAGAAGTTCTTAAGAGGCTGAGGGGGAAAAGGGTAGTTTTCGTTGGAGATTCTGTAAATAGAAACCAGTGGATATCAATGGTATGTATGCTTCAGACGGTCATCCCTCCTGAGCTCAAGGAGATGCGCAAAATTCGTCATGTGTCCTTACGCACCTTCAAGGCACTTGTGAGTATATCCATACTTAATTTATTGTTATTGGTGGATAGGTTGATTATTGAAATATTTTTCCGATATATTAGGATTAACATTGTTAAGTAAATTATTTTTTAATTTTAATAAGGAAGATTCATATATATCTATGTGGTCCCTGTGTTATGTGAAAAAGTTATGTATAGTGTTCATTTTTCATCTATTCCTGTCTCTGCTACAAATCTTCGACCATCTTTGCCTACATTAGTCCACATATTAACAGAACCTGCAAATGAAAATACATAAACCAAAGCCATACGGTCTACTAAACCCATAAAGTCTCTTCGCTAGTCACCAAACTTTGCATTAGCAGCAAAGTAATGTTGTATCAGCTTCTTTTCGGCAGCTTCCTGATTGTTATCGAGATAAGTTCTCGGATTTCTAGGTAGTTATTTTATCATTCCAACGAGGATAAGTAGAGCAAAGGATTAGTTTCATCAACAGAATTGTTGCGAGCAACTGAATCAGAACAAAGAGATAGTTGGAATGCAGTCGGAGATAGTGTAGAAGGTTGGTGTGAAATTTTGAAGTTGTTGAGAGTAGTAATATAGGTAATTAGAAAAGAATATATTTCAAAAAAAAAAAAAAAACTAGTCATTCAACGTCTAGTAAAAAGGGTTGAGATATATGGTAAACCTGACCATCCTTATCGAGTCGAACCCCCTAAGGCATAATGGTGCAAGAACTCAAGGAAGTTTGATGTTATATGTTGTGTGAGGAAACAAAGTATACATTTTTAAAGCAAATTGTTTTTTTTTTTTTTTTCAGAAAATTAAACATATTCAAAACTACATGGTTTTAAGATTAGGTGCCTATATTTATATAGCCTATAGGGTATATATATATATATATATATATATATATATATATATATATATATATATATATATATATATATATATATATATATATATGGGAAAAAGTGAATATACCTTAACTAATATAACTTTAGGTACTCAAACACATCATACTACATCGTTTTGTATTATATATATAAACTGTAATTGTCCAATATTTTTATAATTCAACTTCTAACTTAATTTACTTTCAATATTTTTATAAATTTCACATTTATCTTCCTATTACATAATTTCATTTTAAACTATAATATATATATATATATATATATATATATATATATATATATATATATATATATATATATATATATATATAGCATATAAGATGTTCGACAAAAAGATGTGATGTAAAGAAATATGATACTGAAATTTTAAAAATCTTGAAAGTAAAATCAAGTTAGGGATTAATGTTTAAGAACAATATAATCAATATATATCAAACAAAACGATGTATTATGATGTGTTTGGGTACTTAAGTTTATATACCCTTAAGGGTATATTCACTTTTTCATATATATATATATATATATATATATATATATATATATATATATATATATATATATATATATATATATATATATATATAGACAGAGAGAGAGAGAGATCGAGAGAGAGAAAGAGAGAGACATAAGTTCAATTGAAGAAATAAAAAATGTTGAGAATTGAAGAATTATTCTCAATCAATCATTTATTTTATGCCGCAAAACTCTCCGGTTTAACGGGCCGACAAGGGTAATATTCATATATGAATATAAATATAAGGGTATTCATATATGAAACACCACCTCCTTTCCGCCACTAACCATCATCGCCATCTATGTTACCACCACCACATCCACAACCGACCAACTCTAACAACCGCCACCACCTACCGCCTCCATTTTCATATATGAATGATTGTTTCTGATATATATATTCGTATATGAATATACGTATTCATATATGAATACACTTATTCATTCGCATTTATAATTGAATATGATTTGTTTCGTTGATCCGGTATGCTAAGTGCTTAAGCGTCAGATTCAAAATGAATGGCTCAGATTCATTCCCTTGTTTTCAATATTTTTTTCTCAATTGAATCCTCTTATATATATATATATATATATATATATATATATATATATATATATATATATATATATATATATATATATATATAAGTGTTTTACAGTGACCATCTTTATTCTAACAACAATCTATATAGAACTGGAATTTTACCTACTATATGATAATCGATTTCTTTTCCTAGGATATCGATTTATTAAGAGTGCTATTCTTTCTATCAGAGTAATCATAACCTTAATTCATACTGAGTATGCTCCACTAACACCCGAAAGAAAGCTAGCTCATCTCTGCGATCGTAATGACTTTGGACACTAACCTGAAAGACCAAGAATTTAAAGAAAGATCTCGGCTTAGGCTTAAAATCCCTATAACTCTCAAAGTCACTACTATGTCCAGCTGTATAGGTAAGAATCTCATCATATCCACCTCGGTCATGATGACCTCCTTGTGAAAATCCAAAAGAAAACAAAATAGTTAGAATGATAAACTGTAAATTATTAGAGGCAAATACATTTTTAGGTTTCCAAGTCCAAACGACATTCTTGTCGTATGAACTTCCATATTTATGACAATGATTGTCAAAAGACACTTTCATTTTATTTCTCCTATAGTGATAAGGATAGAGAGAGGCGGTGTACATAGTAATATTGTTGAAGTTTGTTTGTGTGTATATGTGTAAGAAGAATAAGGGAGAGAGAGAGAGAGAGAGAGTGTGTGTGTGTGTGTGTGTGTATGTGTGTGTGTGTATTATTTATTATGCAACTAAAGGAAAAATTGTTTTATTATGCTAACAAGAGACGATATAGTTAATTTCTATACCCTTATATATATATATATATATATATATATATATATATATATATATATATATATATATATATATATATATATATATATATATTATATTCAATTTGTGTGCCCCGATGTCGTCAACTTCTATGTCCTTACCTATATAAATATAATATTTTATTTATGTATTGTGAGTGATAATGTGATGCAAGATAAGATTATTTAAGGACGAATAGACATAAAGTTTATTACAACGATAAAACTCTATAGGGAGTATGAATGATAGCATCCTAAAATAAGATCATATACATAGAGCATCAGAGGGGAAAAAGGTTTTCGAGAATACCACAAGTTTGACACAACACAAGGATGATTTATTTAATTTTTTCTTTTAATAATGTTATAATTTAATTTGTTATTTTAGGAAAAAATAGATTTAGTGTAGTACCAGTGTCAAACATAAGTCTATGTTAGAATAGGGGTGATTAGAGAGTGAATGTGATAATCATGATTAGATATCTTTAGGATCATGAATCTTTAATTCTGAAGTGGTATTTCAACCCTGCGTCTTAGTATCACTATATCATTTGCAATATAACCCAAAAGATTGAAATTTTAGTTTTAGGCACAAATCTTGTAGAATCATACTAGACTTTTGTGTATTCGATGTATATGCTTTTACATGCACATAAAAAAATTTGTATTACGATATGAATGGGTTTAACTAGTAGACCAATTATTATTTTTCCTTTTTTTTTTATCCAAGATGCATGCATTTAGAAATAGATATTGTTTCCATATTCTTAGAAATTAGTGGACCATATTTAGTGATCATATCTTGTGATTCTTGTTTGTAGTTTAATAGTAATTTTAGCTTGCATCTTTAAATTCATGTAGGGTATCTTTTACAAAGTTAAGCAGAAAAATTGTTTCAGTGACTTTCTTTTTTTTCTTTTTCTTCTTAATTTCTTGGAGGTTGATCACCTCAAATCAATGTCTATCATATTACAAATGTATATTTTTTAAGAGGCACTACAAAAAAAAAAAAAAAGTACTACATCAATTATTAGTAGTTCATGATATGGATACAACACCAATTAGACAATTTGAGCTAACCAACTTTACTCTATATCTAATCCACATAAATGAGTGAACCTGAATGGCATCAATAAGTTTTGGAGTTGATGCCAAAGCTTCATATAAAGCTTCAAGTTCTATGCTTTCCAAGTAAACTAGATTGAACATTATCACTACCTCTATAAAAAAAATTATGTTTCCTTGAGATATTAAGAGTATTGATTACATAAGGATCTCAATATGATCACTAAATCTTTCCATGAGGGATCCACACCATATGAAGATCCAACATCAAACCTACAAGGCAAAACAACAATAAGTAAACGCATGCATTTCAGTCTCCTCAACATCGTTCCAAAAAGGCATCACTTAGCATCGATTTCACATCCTTCTTTAACAGTATTAGGGAGCCTGCCCAACCTAGTTTCCAAAAGCAAAATATTAAGCTTGGTTAGAAATATTTTTTTCAAATAATGTTGGTGATTTTTGATTCACATCACCATTTAGTGTGATCGGAATTTATAAGTGTTACAGATAACTTGGATTGTGATCTAATACAAGTCACATGGTATAGAGTCCACATTTATGCAAGATGAGTTTTATCATAACTATGATGAATAATATGTACAAGATGTAAATGAATTATTTATGTTTTTTACCAACATGTCATCATATGATTGAACATTGTGAGATTCGAACCTAAGACCAACTCTATTTTGGAGTCTTTAGATGGAAAGTAAATTACCATTAGGTCATATGTATGGTAAAAAGTGGAAAATCTGCATAATGATTTCTTTAAGAAAACACGCTACATATGCATGATGTAAAGGACTTACCTACATGACCGAAATGAATTTACATACTTCAAAAAGTTAATTAGGACTTGGATTAAATGTGATTATAAATGGATAAGGAATATCACTTTAATATTTACTAAATGAAATGCAAAAAAATTGTGTATTTTATCTACAAGTATTCCAATGGGTTGTTGGCTTCTATTCTTAGGATATTATGATTTCTTGAATATTTGGAATGTGTAAAATACTTGAATAGATTTGGACTTCTTTATATACTTTTTTATTTATAAAAAAAAAAATTTGGTTTCTTTTCATAGTTAGGTAAACTCAAATGTCACATTATAATAAAGAATGATTGTTGGTAATTTTAGTGTCACCATACTTGTTAGGGGAATGGTAAGATTGTTAAAATAGACCTAAATTATGATCTAATTCTACAAAGGTGGTGTGGAATGCACTATTATGGAAGGAGAGTGATTCCAACCATGACAAAAAATGGTGATTAAGCTTAGGGGATTGTTATACTTGGTTGGTCAAGGGACAATATCCTATAACCTAATTGTTTTTCAGTATACTTGGGGTGGTTGAAAAAGACAATCATTAATTTCAAAATAATGATTTGGGTGTACAAGCTGATATAATTTCTTATTTACGCCCCCAAATATGAAGTAAGCATGTAAATTATCCACCTCAATAATGTCATAGGAAATAAATACGGTCACAAGGTATTTTTCCCAAATTCGAATACAATTGCAAGTTGTTTGCGTTTTATTATTAAATAAAAATCGAGGCTTAATTGATGATAATTAAGTGTATTTTAGGATTTATTTTAAGTAAAAAATATTATGAGTTAACTGAATATATGGTCAAATTATATTCACTTTAAAGAATATTTCCTACTATTTGAATGATAAAAACATATTTTAATAAATAAAAATATTATATGGATAGAAACTGATATATATTTATTTTAATAAAATATTTCTAGAATACTAATTATTTTTTTAAAGCATTAATTGTTCAACATTAATACCATACGAGGACTTGATAAAACTAGGAATAAAAAGTATTCCTAGGAATACCCTTTATTTGCATAAAATATAGTAAACATACATTTTATGTAACTGGTTAAATTTGATATAATCATGTATATCATTTCTTTTATTTTGTTTATAAGCATATTTGTGTTAATACATTTGTATACAGGAATATAATGTTTCTATCGACTTTTATTGGGCTCCATTATTGGTGGAATCTAATGCTGATCATCCATTAAAACATAAAACAAATGATCGTATTGTTCACATTGAATCCATCGAAAGGCATGCTAAATATTGGGTTAATGCAGAAGTACTAGTTTTTAACTCATATCTCTGGTGGAGGATGCCTACATTCAAAATATTGTAAGTTCATACTTCAAAGGTTGACATTAGGTTTACTAATTTTTGGCTAATGAATTTCTAAAATGATTGTTTTTCTTGTAAGGAATGGAACACATGGAAATTCTACACAATATGATGTTGTAAGCAACCATCATGGTTACAATATGGTTATCAAAGTGTTTTCTAAATGGTTACATGATCATGTCAATCACACAAGGACTCAATTATATTTCATGAGCATGACTGCAACACATCATAGGTGATATATTTGAATTTAAATTAATTATCCAACTAAAAATTTTATGGTTTTCATTAAGACCTTATTTTCAGTGGCACAGAATGGGGCATGAAAGATGATCAGAATTGCTTGAATGAAACAGATCTAATAACCAAACATAGGTTTTGGGAAAGTGAGTCGGATTTAAAGCTGATGAGAATATTACAAGTATCGCTAAATAAATTGAAAGAAAAGGGGGTGAATGTAAAAGTAGTGAATATAACACATCTAACACAATATAGAAAAGATGCACACCCTTCTATTCACAGGTTGTATAATTATCCTTTAACAACAACACAACTAGCCAACCCTTCAAGTTATGCAGATTGCACACATTGGTGTCTTCCTGGTGTCCCAGATGTTTGGAATGAGTTGCTTCTAGCTTACATTCTTGGCAAGCATAAATAATTAAGAATTCTTAATAGAATTGTATTATGAGTATTAAAAGTATAATCAGTGTTAAATTTAATGCCAATGTGATCAACATACAATATATAATGGCAATACTATATTTAAAAGAGTTCCATCTAATGCACTTATTACTTCGGGAAATATGCCCTTTTCCCTTCTATGTTGTTTGAAAATATTTGCGGTTGCATTAGAAGATATTGGCACTATCATTTCTCTTGAAAAACACATTGTTGCATTTCAGACCTCATGAAAAATAGATGAATCATTTTTGTGTAGTGTTGAAATCATCATTTAATAGCTTAAATAATCATAAATGAAATATAATAATTTTTGCATTAAAAAACATAATATATTCATCTCCCCTTACCATTCTTCTTCTATCATATTAAAGTTGTGTGCTATTCTATTATAAACATTACTCGTTTTTATTTTAATTATGAACCAATATGCATATTTTGATTTAGATAATTGTATTGATTCTTCATTTTCTTTTGATTGACTACAAAATTGTGTTCGATTTTTGTTTATTTGATACATTCTTCCATGAGCTAGCTCTCAAGTTACAACCTTCCCAACCGTTAGTTGTAATTTCATGTATACATACTTCAAGAAACATTTTTCATACATCATTTCTTCCAACTTAGTCTAGGCCTCTTATGCGACATATATATATATATATATATATATATATATATATATATATATATATATATATATATATATATATATGGTCAACTAAATGATAGGGATATATGAAGTTCATAAAGCATACAAGTTCATATTTCATCATACACTTCAACATTTCAGTATACACTTCATAGTTTTAGCATACAAGTTCATTTTTTAGCAAACAAAGTTTCTATTTCAACATTCATTTCATAATTTAAGCACCATTTGAGCATACACTTCATGATTTCAACATATAGGTTCATTTTTCATCATACATGTTATCATTTCATCAACATTTCAGACAATTGATTTTATAAAAGTTCATATTTAATATAATCATCATCAAGTTCCTAATTTTAGAGGAAAAAGGGTCATGTTCATAGTTTATGGTTCACATACACTAACGATTATGATTTCGAGTTCATAAATGAGTTTATAACTTATGAGAATCGATTTTAATTTCATAACTGGTTTAAAGGAGTTTTTGTTCATAAATTTAAAAAAACATTATCTGTTGATGAAGAAGACGTTTCAGTGGAGACATTGGCAGAGGAAACAGATAGAGTGGTGGGGAAAGTTTTTAGATTGGTGTAGGAGATTCTATAGTAATGGGTATGCTAAACTCTGATGGTTATGAGTGTGATAAACATTGATTGTATTATGGAATAAAGGGAAATGACTTCTATTATGGTTTTTATAGGTTATATAAAACATATTTGCACAATGAAATTAACACATAATCTAATTATGGGTACATGCAATCTATAGATCTATAACATGGAACCTATAGATCTATGTATTTACATAATATAACAACATACTATTGAAACTACTACAAACCCTAGGTGAGATCGAAATTCTCAAGTAGAATTACATACCTTTAGTGTTACTAGTGTATGTACCACTCTTTGATCCTAAATTGGTGTCAAAAAGGTATCACCAAAATTATGGTTGCCTGTAATGACTCACATCCAAAACTTAGAAACTAAGGGATCGATTTAGAGAGAGAGAGAGAGAGAGAGAGAGAGACAAAATTTCGACCTGGGAAATATGAGGGACAGATTGCTAAAAATCATAGGTTTATGGTCCTTTTAGCTTCCAGATTTCAAAGGATAAACCCTAATTTGAATACTAAAATAATATACTTTAATCCATATTCAAATTAGTTTTCTTATCTGTATTTGGAGGCTTCCAGAACTCCTTGGAGGAGCCTCTAAAACCATCCAAGCAAGGAGGGTTCCAGAACTCCGGTGTTGCCCTCCCTCCTTGAGGTTGAGGGTTCAAGTCATGTCATGGACATAGGTGGATTTAAGGAGTAGTTTAGGAATAGGTTAGATTTTTCGTTCCAAAAAAAATTTAACGCAAAGTTAATTTCACATTAATTCTGGTTAATTCTAAATTAATTTATTATTCATATAATAAACTAATAAATTACTTCATCTCTCTTTTGATATCATTCTTATTTATTTTAGGATACGAAGGCAACCTAAAAATGACTTTACTTTTATTCATAAGAACATACCATTTAGTTAAGACCTTAAAGACCTTAATCGAACAGTCTATACCCCTCATGCAACTTACACATAATGTTTAGTCGGATAAGTAGCAGTTAACCTATTAAGTGGTGTGATTTTTGCAAAAATAGTGGTATGAATATGACGATTTAGAGCCTCCCTCTTCATGGAGCCATTAAGTGGCATATCAAACTACCACAAACACATGTTCCTCTTAATCATTCTCCTTTTTTACATATTTAAGAATTTTGAACATTAATTCTTACCCAAATTTGATTGATATTAAGGTTGCTTGGTAATATTTTGTGCCTTAACCTTTGGTTTAGGATATTGGTGTTCCTTGATAATACTAAATTCCATTTCCATCATATATTTTCTATTGGATGAATTTTGTTTTCGATTGCTTGTGTAAGTGACCACATGAAGTATACTTTATAATTGGTTAGAACCCACCCCCATATATTTAGGGAATTCGGACAACTGCACATCCTTATAAACCTCTAAAATATTTTGCATCTCAAACTCTATTAATTAACCAAAAGGATCTTAAGTTAACCATTTTCATCTAAACATTATCTAATGTAACCCTTCTACCTTTTTATACCTCTAATTACTAAAATGCTCTTGGAATTTGTTATGCTAGTGTGTTACTATAACACCATTTATTTGTCTAGAATTTTATCGAGTTACCTATTCCAACCTTTCTTCAAAAGCTTATTATTTAATCCTAATCATGTCCACTGGTTTTCACAATTGAATCACATACACACCATCAAGAACCTTTCACGAAATTATTACATAATACATATACCTTACAAAGGGAACTACCATCCAGAAAGAGTCTTCCAGGTCCTTTTTATGACATCATGTGTCTAGACTAGACATCAAAGCTCAATGAAACCACATTCAGTGTACACATGAGCACCATTTTTCTTTTATGTAAGTTTAATAACGTAAGTTCCATGTCATATTTATTTTATAATTTCATAATCATTGCATAACATAAGGAGCTTTAGCATGAAATTTCAACAAACATAGAAAATACATAACTTAATTTATAACATTTAAACTATTATTCATAACTTAGTTTCGCACTAACTTAATTTCAAAAAAAAAAATCTTCTAGCAGTGAAGAGATTTGTTTTTTGGGTATGTGTTGAATCTTTGTATGTTTATTTGTGATTATATGTTAAAATAATAAATTTCCATTTTTTATGAATTCATTACTTTCATTTTCCTTCAAATTTTAGTTGTTTTTAGGCTTTTTGTATGAGTGTGTGTGTGTGTGTATATATATATACATATATATGGTTGTGTGTGTATGTGTGTACCAAGACAACTTAAATAATCATAAAAAATTGATTTTGATATGTCCAAAATAAGTCTAGAATACGCTAAAGTAATTTGAAATGTATTGAACACTTCAATACTACGTAAAACATACCAGGAATGTCTATTACTATTCCAAAATATAGTTCGAAATGGTGTCTTTATTCTAGAATGATGTATACAACACAACCATTATACTTTGGAATGGTTTCTGCAACACTTTCACTAGACTAATTTATATTCCTTTCATTTTTCATGAAATAGCAATAAAACAGTTGTTACTACAACCTACAAACTTGAACTCGGTAGGGAAAGCATTACTTATTTACACATACCCAGATGTGCGACCATTTTTACTGCTTCCTATTTTGATGCGTATGTTAACATTCTGATGGGTGTAGAATGTCACTTGTATCTATGCCATTACTTTACATTCAAGGAGGTTGCTACTTATCCTTGGTCTGAGATGGAGGAGCTTCTATTCTTAATAGGCGGCTATCGGGTTTGCTTTAACAGGCGAGCTTTCTGCTTTATTACCAGTCTTCCATTTAAGGAGTATTTTTTGGCTACTTCGTCTTCGATATAGTTCAGACAACTTGTATTTTCATTTTTCTTGTGTTTAGAGTCAATGAATGTTGTTGACATTATTCAAGTGTTCAATACTCATGACTTTCAGAGAAGATGGGTCATTTTTAAGTGGGGGTGGAGACAACCTTGTATATGATAACTTCATGTTAGGGATGAAAAGAGGTGGGGTAGAAGATTATAGACACATAGGGTGATGGGGTAGGTGGTTGGCTATGATGACTGAATCGAAGATACGGGAGTGGGAGAGTGAACGATGGGAATTAGGGATGCATAGTTTTAACGCTCTTATCCAATTATTTTCGTTTACATATTTAGTCCATATATTTTATTAATTATAACACAATGTATAAAATAAAGAATATTTAGTCATCTTTGTTGGATATAATACTAATTATTAATAAAGAAAAATATCATATTCCCTTACATCCCTTGCATATGTTCAGAATTAATGAAAAAAAATTAACGATGTTAACCATTAGGAATATCTATTAAAACTTTTAAATTCATAGGGACCAACCTTGTTATTAAAAATTAGCAGGGATTACACTTCATATTTTTGATATTTATGAAGATTTGTCTTTTATTAATAAATAGGCAAAATTTCACTAATGGTTTGTTTGCTTTTCAATTTTTTCATGAAACAGTCCTTATGAAATAGTTTTTGCATGGATAGTTTCTTTGGAGAAAACGTTGCACGCAAATGGTCCTTATAACTAACTTTGTTAACAGATTTTGTTGAGTGTTTGTGAAATGACAAAAATACCTTTTCTTTTTTTACATACAAATAGTCCTTATGACTCTCTCTCTCTCTCTCTCTCTCTCTCTCTCTCTCTTTCTCTCTCTCTCTCCCTCCCTCCCTCTCTCTCTCATACACACACATCTACATGTATTTCTCAG